AAACTACTCTTGATTCAATCGGATTTTTGCTTAAATCCAGAACCAAGCCTCTTAATTTGAGCGGATTTCCAACAAAAATCTGATTGAATCAAGAGTATTTTTTCTTGTCAATGTTTTCAAAAGTCTGGACTCTAGATCCAATGTGTTTTTTTCCAGTGCAAATTCTGGAAACGTACCAAAACTTCTCTCTAAAAATATAATCAATTTATGTACGGGTATATCATTTCATCTTGCAATTTTCTCACATTCTGGGTGATATCTTTCGAGAAGTCAGAGGATCTGCCTGAGAGCATCTCGATAAAGAACACGAGAGATGCTAGAACGCAACCACTGAAGAAGATGACGTAAGCACCGTACAAATGTCTCAGTGTCAGCACTGTGTCTTGGGCAAATACGCGATCTTGAGAGAGCTCCTGAAATCAATGAAAAATTTGCCAGTGTATATTCCATGGAGTGTTTCAAAACAATAAAAATTTGGAAAAGTTCAGTTGGCCTGTGTTTTTTCACTCAATTTGGTTCCACTACAAAAGTGGACATGCTAGATTAAGTTTATAGTTTGCCGTAGAGCTTTCCTGGCCCCCTGATTCTGGAAAAAATTATATTGATTTAGATTGGGGAAACGGAACAGTAAAAAAACAGGCGGCAATGCGTTTTTTGGTTATAAAATGCGCCTAGTGAAAAAAATCGGTCTATCTCTCAGGGAGACATTTAAGGGTCTATTTGTCGACAATAACCCAGAAAAAACTATTTGTTGACAACATATTACTTAATCTAATACTGAGGGTGGCTAACAGCGACAGAGAAATACCTTGCACTGGCCTCTTGGCGACGTAGATGGAAACTTTTACTATTAAGGTATCAACTCTTTCTTGTGGTCAATTAAAAGGGAGCAGCAGTCTTTACCCTATTTTCGCCTGTTGACCTACCTACTAGGTGGATGATAAACTTCGGGTGAGCCAAACAAGTTCGCCAAATTTCGGTAAAGTTGTGAAACGAAATACTAGACACGTTGTTCAACATCCACTTAGCGTAGGTAAGTCAACAAGTGAATTTTAAGTCCCGCAACTGAAAGCCTCCACCGTCGCCAAGATGGGAGCCACTGGATAGGGTCCCTCTATCAATCTGATGAACATTGGCGATTCTTGAAAGTTGGCAACCATGATTTTACTCCATTTAAATGTATGTAAAACAATCTATTCTCGGTGAGGCAGCTTGTCTCCCTAACATCGATATTTTTAATAGATTTAAATGGAGGAAAAACAGTGTTATTGACCTTATTGACCCTTATTGATCAGCTAAAAATAATAAAATCTGTGCAAACAGCAACAATGGATGGTGGATGACATCATGAGCCGAATTTTACGAAGCGCGATATCTCGGTTGATATTCAACGTAGAAAGTTGCTGTTGGGCGGAACTTGTTATTTTTGGCTGATCTACAAGACTCGAGCATCAGCTAGAATGATTGTATGACCAGCGCAACTGACCCGTGCCAGATATGATTGCCAATTTTCTTATATTCCCATAGACTTATTGATGAAGATGATCTCCAAAATATCAATAGCGCGGGTTTTCATCCACCTTTCTTCCTCATATCATAGTGAAATAGATATCACAAAACCGATCGAACTAAGCATCAACTTTCTATCGGTTTCAGGACATTTTGTCAACGATTTTTTGTCCGCGCACCTTTTTTGTCCAGTACGCCCACACGTAAAATAAGCAACAGTCACTTGGTCCAAGCGTTATATTTTAGTCGGTATGTAAAATTATATTGACCATGTGGAAATGAGAAATTGAGAGAGAAGGAGGTGTTGTTATGGTTGCTCATTTTTTAAATGAAATGTTATTACTTTCTCCTTTTGAGTCATCTTTTTAAATTTTCATTGGTGAATATTTGGTTTTATTGAATACAAATGAATATTAAAATATTGAATGTACAATATACCTTTTATATGTATAGGTACTTTTATTTTATTTTTTCTTTCCGAAATTATTACTTCATTTTGAAAACATTTATACTTTTAAAACGTGACAAATATTTGTAAAACCCTTTCCAAGCGACATTCATCTCAATGAGCCGCAGTTGTGCCGACAGAAACTGCAAAAATGAATAAAAGAGGGGAAAAAACAAAGAAGCACGCAATCTTTAGTTTTAACCCATTTGTACATCCATCTTACAAAACGAGTCAAACCATCTGAGTCATCCATCTGAGTCAAATACGTTAAATTTTGAGCTTTTGGTTGCGCGTACACGTCGCTGCAGCACAGTAAAAGCACAAAATGTAAAAGAGAAAATGAAAGTGCTTTGGAAATCATTTAATTTGACACGGAACCACCAATATTTAAAAAACGCACATTATATTATTATTATCCTTTGATATAATGATACATATTTTTTCCCCATCAATTTAAATGAGAATAATCAATGCAGAGTGCGCAAACATTTCAAAATCATGAGTTAAAAAACGCTGACTATGCGAGTATAAATATATTAAAGCCTAACAGAGCGGAGCGGCGCGGCGTGCTGCCAGCGCGAGAGGCTCACCGGCGCCTACAAACCTAAGTGGATACGCACGCAAGTACGCAAGTACGCATTGCACAATGCTTGAAGTATCCACTTAGGTTTGTAGGCGCCAATGCGCGTTTCGCGCTGGCCGCCTACCCGCCGTGCGGCGGCGCCAGGAGCAACTACTTCACAACAGAGGTGTTGCACAGTATTATACGAAATTGAACGTATTAAGAATGACAGGCATCCTTTAAAAGTATAGATCTTTCCTCGCAAAATAAATCTAGATACTTATCGTACACAGGAAAAATCTAAGAGCCTTTAACTGAGGCAAATATAGAGGTTTATCCGGTTCAGGTATAACAAGGTGGTTATTTCTTGAAAGATAATTAAGTCCTGTTACACCAAAGAGGTGTAGAAAGTTCTAGTGAATTCTGTCTCATGGAATTGACGTTCCCCCATTTTTACCAAAACTCGCAACTATATATTATCCTCCGTTGGACCAAAAAACAAGCAAACCCTGATTCTTCCAAGACATTATATATTTTCATCCCAAAATGTCGTGAGCAAGTGTCGTTTGTATTCATATGTGGGCCAAATGACTTTGGGTCTCAACTGGCACGTCCACCAAAACTCCCGTGCCGAAAAAACGCGTGGACGTAAATTACTGGAAAAAACAGGTGCGCGGACAAAAAAACGTTGACGAAATGTCCTATAACCCTTTCTATCTGTGCGTTTTGAGGCTTTTCATTTGTTTACTTTCTTATCATAAACTTCTTATGTTTCCCTTGTATGTCCATCAAAACACGATTATGTAACTAGCGCAACTGTCGTATTTAAAATCAGCCCTCTATCCAAAAAAAAAAAAAAAAAAAAAAAAAAAAAAAAAAAAAAAAAAAAAAAATGCAAAATCGCTACTGCTGGTGAATGAGGACAAACCTGGTCCATGTTGACGTCATCCCACTTGAGGGTGATGCCGGTCTCGATGAGGCGCCAGAGGACGTCGTTGACGGGCTTGAGGAAGGGGGAGCCGGCGCGGAAGATGAAGGGGGAGGAGTAGGAGCGCGTCACGCAGACCGGGAGCACGAACATCCGCCGCGAGCTGTTGGTCGCCGCCCGGAAGCGCTCCGAGTAGTGCAAAAGCTCCCGCTTCGAGGCGAAGATCGCCAGGTCTCGTCGGGTGATCACCCGCCGCACGTGGTGGTAGAACGGCAGCGGCGAGAGGATCTGGTACCTGAAATATTCAAAATACTGAGCGCCACCACGGTGCGGTGCTTCCGGGCTCATTATTGAAATCGATAGACGTGGCTATAGACAAACAAACGTAGGGTGTATGGAGCGATCCTATTGGTTGAAATGGGTGGCTCTTATATTGGTGTGCTGAGGAGAAACGCCGCACAATGGATCGAGTCAATTAGGGAGGTCGGACATGAAATTTTTGACTAAAACCGCAAATTTTTATGTTTATTTCTTTACATTTTGAATTCCAATGGGTGCTACAAGAAGAAAATTTTTCGAGGAAACCAATGGAACCATTTTTAGAACCTCAAAGTTTTGCATAAACGGAGTTATAAGCGTTTAAAGTTTTCAAAGTTTGTCCGACCTCACCTATTGACTCGATCCACCGTGCGCCGTTTGAACCTTCAGCAGGGACCCTGATTTTATTGAACCTTGCTCAAATCTGCCGTGATAGCGAAGAGAGCCCTAAGTGCAAAAATGAAGTTTTGAGAAAATGGGCCTGGAAGCCTCTGAGTGAAACATTTTATTAAAAGAAGTCTCCGTTCTTTGTCAAATCGCAACCAATCATTCGATAGACTCTTAGAAATCATTTGGGGGTTTACAACTCGACCGGTTTTATTTTAAAGTACACGAAAAAGGTAAAATTCAGTTTCATGTTAGGTTAGTATTTGGCAAGACAGCCGTAAGTGCTGTCTTCTGCGTGCTTTTGTGGTAGCGTGTTGGACACACAACAAACACATTTTCAGGTTAGAAATCGGCAAATGAGGGCGGCATTCCTCTTGAAAGCACTGTTTTTATTGGCTCTCATGCACCTACGGCTGTCTTGAAAAAAAGCTATGTCATTTTTTGTGCACTTACGGCTTTTTCATACGTCTCGTTTTCATTAAATTAGGATGCATTTTGCGGTTTTAGCTGTCTCAGTAATTTCATCTAAAAGAGTTTAGACGAATTTTGAAGAAAACTCGATTTTGAAAAATTTGCACTTACGGCTCTCTTCGCTATTACGGCGGAGTGGCGTGGCGTGCTTTGCGATATATCGATTGATCTGTGATTTAAACCTGTGGAAAAGGACCAATAAACAGGAACAGGGTGTTCGCAGCGAACACTGCGACCTCCATAGTATTGGAAGGCGTAATGAAATCTGAATCGAAAGTCACTCATTTTAATGTGATTGTCGTCAATCATATACACAGTTCCGGAGGCATTCTTTCCGTAGCTTACAAGTTTCAGAAATATCTTTTAGAAAAATCTCAAATTTTGTAAATGACTGTACTTATACGTTTCAAGAAGTTAGGATCGAGTTAAACTTGAACGTCATTAACTGATTTGTGTCATTGAATTTATTTAATTTTTATTTTCGTGTTTAATTATTTATTTGTCTTTTAACAAATTTTTATTCCTCCTCTAGTTTCAGAAATAACTTTTAGAAAAATCTCAAATTTGTAAATGACTGAACTAAGTTCAGTCATTCGACTGACGCCCTTTAGGGCGCTTGAGAGAGTCCTAAAATTTTTTTTTTTGAAATTTTTTCCAAAAGACATTCCTTATTTGCAGACCTCATAGCACGTTTTGAGACCTGGGGAGCTTAACTTTTCTTAAATTTCAAAAATAAGGGACACCCTACTGAACTTATACGTTTCAAGAAGTTAGGATTGAGTTAAACTTGAACGTCATCAACTGATTTGTGTCATTGAATTTATTTTATTTTTATTTTCGTGTTTAATTATTTATTCGTCTTTTAACAAATTTTTATTTCTCCTCCGCATGCCGTCTGAAAAATCTCGGTTTTCCAAAATACTTCGTTCTGGTTTTAAAATTTAGGATCGAAAAACAACTCCAAAGTTGTTAACCAATTCCAATCGTTAAACAAGTTGGATTTTGCAATCGCTAGCGATGGCAATATTCGTCATGGGAACGTTAGC